AAACCCAATTTGCACATATGGCATAGATGACAAGCCCATGGTTATCGGCGTTTTTTTTCTTGTGATGATATTGATATGCTCCCTTTGCATCCTTTATCTCATATGCCATTGCCATGACCACCTAGCTTCGGATATGCATTGTTTTGGGTATTACCCATTTTCTCCATGTGATGTTTTCCAATATTGCACATGAGGAGACCCCCATAGTTTCCTCATACATTTTAGGAAATTTTGATCACTCCCATCAATTGCATGATCCTTATACTTGTATGCTCAATTTGCATTCCCATCGTGTTATACACAATAACTATTCTTTCATGATGGATGACATGTTCTTATACCATGCATCAAATTTCTTTGAGCGATGCTTATCTTGTACTAACTCTCACGTGCACATACACATCATGATGGATGATGTGTACATTTACCGCACACATAATTTCTTTCATTTGTGTCTCTTTTGTGTAGGTACCCATGAATTCTTGTCAACCTCGCAATCCCATGAGTTGACAAAATGAGCTCTAGAGAGCAACGATGACTTGAGATCCCATGGATTATCTTTCCCACCGCTCTCTTCGCGCAAAGACTTCGCGCATTTCTTATACATGACCCTCACTTGGCTATGGGTTATTGTCCACTACATATTCTATGCCCATCTTACCATGATCACTTTGCATGATATGCTCATTACTATGCTTTTGCCATGCATTCGTGACCCATGCTTTGCATTACACATGATGATTGATTCTCATACTTGTATGTGTATTCGCAAGCTTGGTGAAGACATTGCTTGTTACTGCCATGTTTGCTTTGTGCCCCATGCTTATGATGATACTATGATCTTTCTTTGTGTTCGTGCTTGCGATATATCATGTACATTTCCTATGACTATTATTTGCTCACATGACATGATTGCCATGCTTTCCTCTAGTATGTTGCATCTTTGCATTACTAGCTTGCACGACTTGATTCCTGTGATTGCTTGCCTTGTTGCATCACCAATGATTCATACTTGCTCACTTCATGCGGTTGATGACAACCATTTACATGCTTGTCCCCATGATATCTTTGCTTGTGCTCAATTTATGCGCTTATATGCCATGTCACAATCCTTTGTCACACCATATGCTTTGCATGATGACGACACTTGTTTGGTGAATCGCCTCTTGAATGCTTGGTTTTGCACTAACGCTAACCAAATTCATTTTTCCAAGTGTTTGTTGTCCTTGCTCATTTTGAAGGAATCCTAAGATGGTGCGACATTGGAGAGTGCCCACTTCAAGCTTGAAGATGACGACTACTTGGTGAACGTCCACTCCTACACGGCGAAGCCATCTCTTTCCCATGGTGATTTGGTTTTCGATCCGAGGTCGGATCTTTCCCAAGGGAGGGGAGATGATGCGGAGCATCCTACAGACATCACCATGTCAAGAGTCCGTTTGGCAAGTGACACGTGCGACCTCTACTTCACATACACAAAGGTGAATCATATCCTTTACACGTGCTCACTTGACCTCTTTGAGGATGGTATACTACTTGACACTTCTCCCGTGTGCATGCATAGGTATTGTCGGAACATTGCGGACGACGTGAAGGAGTGCAAGCGCCAAGGAACACCTACACCATCCGCGGGGGAAGCGTGGAAACGAAGACGCAATAAGAAGAGTTGTCGAAGAAGCTCCAGCCACCGGACGACCGGTCGGGTCCGGACGTCCGGCGCCTGAAGATCCACCGGACGACCGGTCCAGACCGGACGACCGGTGTCCCTGCACCCGAGCCAAACAAGCGGACGTCCGACGCCACCGGACGACCGGTCCAGACCGGAAATCCGCTACACCAGCATCTGAGCCAGAACGAGCGGACGACCGGCCCCTACCGGACGTCCTGCCGCCCACGAGCCACCGGACGACCGGTCCCCAACGGACATCCGGTACCTGGCTGTGTCCAGTTGCAGGCTGAGGCCCATGTACCCCTTCACTTACCTCTTCGTGGCCCTAGACTATATATACTCCTCCACCTCCACCATTTGAAGGTTAGCGATGGTTTAGCTCATACTTAGAGATAGAGCTTCGCTCATCCATATCGGATCTACTCCTCATGAGAGACCGCGGCCTCTTCGGAGAAGATCCCTTTGGATTCAAGACCTCCTTTTGGAGAAGAACATCAAGACCTCCTCACGGAGAAGACCGGCTACCTTTGTATCGTCCATTGTTGACTTTGGATCTTGTATCTCACCTTTGTGTTCATCGATCTAGCGCATGTGTGATCATACTTGTTGGTTTGAGTGTTCTCTTGTGTTCCCCTTGTGATTTTCCCCTCGTTTCCCTCCTCGTGTTCTTCGTGTTCATCGCGGGATCCGCTCCTTTCATGAAAGATCGACCTATAGGGTTCCTACCCTACATCAAGATAGCCCGAGAGAGGTCGGCCCGAGTGACATAGGCCCAGACGTCGTAGGCGAGGCGAGAGCAGGCGAGGCCGGCCCAGTCGACGTGGGCGGCGAGGCGAGGACGGGCGAGGCCGGCCCAGTCATCATGGGCGACGAGACAGGGACGGGCGAGACCGTCCCAGGCGACGTTGGCATGGCGGGCGTCGCGGGCCGAACGGGCGACGAAGCAGGCAAGAGCGCCGGGGCATCGACCGGTCGTGCATGGGCATCGGTACCGAGGCCATGCAAGGATGCCATAGGGTCATCATGCACGACGGGTGGTGCCGACAAGGAAGGCGATGACGACGAAGGAGGCGATGGCGCCTCTAAAATTTCCAAACAAGACCCACGTCCAGTGCCTGCACCACGGTTAGGCAGCAATATAAAAGAGTATGCAACATCATCAAATTGGTCAGAAGCAATAGAGGATGAATGCATGGATGGTGGTTCAGCGGTGGACACAGGAAGTTTGGCAAAGGGAAAAACATGCTCATCAAACACGACGTCCCGAGATATATAGACACGATTGGTGGGAACATGAAGACATTTGTAACCTTTATGAAAAGAGCTATAGCCAAAAAAGACACACTTCTTGAAGCGAAACTCAGACTTGCGCTTGTTATATGGACGGAGATACGGCTAGCAAGCGCACCTAAAAACCTTGAAGAAGGTGTAATCGGGTTGTTCATTAAGAAGAACCTCAATGGAAGTCTTCATGTTCAAGACACGAGTGGGAGTACGGTTTATGAGAAAACATTTAGTGGTGAAAGCATCACTCCAAAACCAAAACGGAACAGATGCATGGGCCAAAAGAGTAAGACCAGTTTCAATAATGTGACGATGCTTACGTTCTACTAAATCATTCTGTCGATGTGCATGTGGACATGCTAAACGGTGAGCGATTCCAAGCGACTGAAAGAAGGAGTTGAGATTGAGATACTCGCCCTCCTAGTCCGACTAGATATGAACAATTTTGTGCTTGAGAAGACGTTCAACATGTTTTTGAAACTAAACAAAGATGTCAAACACATCAGATTTACGTTTAATAAGATAAAGCGAGATAAAGCGACTATAAGCATCAACGAAACTGATATAATAATTGTGACCATCGATAAAAGTTTGAGAAGGACTCCATACATCTAAAAACACAAGTTCTAAAGGATGTTTCTCTGACTGAACTCCAAAAAAGAAAGTTGATGACTCTGACACTCACACGTCACACTTGCCCCCCAAAAGAGGAAAAACGCTCACGCTCGCGTCTGAGAATCCAAGAGAGATGTTCGGACTTTCTCAACCTCATTCACCACTTGTTTCATACCGGGCCGCTGCACCGGCAGCTCACTCGCACACGATATGCCGATCCTCGCCACTGACACCAGGCAACGCTCAACCTGCGGCTGGTGTCCACCTACATCGGCGAGCAGCCGCGGATCGACGATGGACAAGATGCCGCCTCCGGAGCAGGCCTCCTCGACGAACCTCGTGAGCGTCAGCCCTTCCAAGAACATAGCGTCGGTAGGCCTCTTCCCGGTGAACATCTCCAGCAGAAGAATCCCGTAGCTGTACGCGTCGCCGCCGGCGCATGCTTTCTCGCCCATCCCGTACTCTGCAAAATCTCAGAGCATTTCCGGTGAACATTTCTGCAGCGCGTGTGCTAGTAGAATTTATATGTGGTACGTGGTTGATCTTTAGTTACCTGGGGCAATGTAACCGATGGAACCCTTGAGGATCACGGAGCTGGCTTGGCCACTCGGGTCAGCGCCGCCGAGAAATCTCGCGAGACCGAAGTCGCCGACGCGGGCAACCATGTCGTCGTCGAGAAGAACGTTGCTGGGCCTCAGATCGCAGTGCGCGATCGGCGCCTCGCAGTCGCTGTGAAGGTAATCCAGCGCCGACGCCACGTCCACGGCGATGTTCAGCCGCTGCACAAGGGTCAGCGTCCTGGTCTCGTGGTGCAGCCACCTCTCCAGGCTCCCGTTGGGCATGTAGCCGTACACCAGAGCCTTGAACTCCTCCCCTCTGCCGTCCACGCTCGCGCACACGGTCAGAATCCTGATGAGGTTGCGGTGCCTGGCGTGCCGCAGGGCGTCACACTCCGCGGCGAAGGTTGCGAGCGCGCCTCGCTGCCCGAGGCTGAGGACCTTCACGGCCACGATACACTCGTTGCCCTCGTGGGACATGCTGCCTCGGTACACCGATCCGTGCGAGCCGGCGCCAATCAAGTTGTCCGGAGAGAACCCGTTGGTCGCGTTGGAGAGCTTCGTGTATGAGACTTTCCAGTGCAACTCCTCCACCTCCAATGGATTTGCCACTTTTGGCGGAGCCATTTTCCGGCGACAAGCCACCACAGAGGCCCAAACGACAACGCTGGCGAAGGCTGTGCATGCCATAGGAGCGGCCAGTTTCAGAGCAAGCGATCTATCCCTCGCCGCGTTGGTTGTAGTTATACAGGGTGGCAGGCCCAATTCCCCAATGCCACCACATAGATGGCTATTCCCGGTGAGGTCGACGGCCGTCGTGTTGGTGAAGACTCCCTTGACCGGCACCTCACCGGCGAGACGGTTGAAGGACAGGTTCAGGAGGCGCAGGTACGGCACGTCTTGCAGAAAGCGTGGGAAGTCGCCGGACAGGTGGTTGCGGGACATGTCCAGCTCCTCCAGGCCCTTGAGGCTCCCGAATGACGACGGCGAGACGCCAGCGCGGAGCAGGTTGCCCTGGAGATATAACTTCTGAAGCGGCCGATCGTTGCGGGGATCGCACCAGTCAATCTATTATTGGAGAGATCCAAGGTTTGGAGACTCTGAAGGCGGCCAACCTCCAGTGGCACCTCGCCGGAAATGAAGTTGTTGGACATGTTTAGGATGTAGGACATTGCCGGTATGGTGAAGACCTGAGCTGGAATGGTGCCAGTGAGCCGATTCCCGGCGACACTCAGGTAGGCGAGGCCCCGGCAACCCGCTAAGCTCGGCGGCACCTCGCCAACGAGCTCGTTTTCGCTCAGCTCGAGCTGCGTCAGCTTGGTGAGGTTGCCGAGCGACGACGGAATCGTGCCGGTCAGCCGGTTCCCGAACAGGAGCATCTCAAACATGCCAGTTAGAAGGCCCGTGGACTCCGCGATGACCCCAGACAAGTTGTTTGCCTGGAACCGGAGGGTTGTCAGCCCCGTCAGCTTGCCGATACCGGAGGGGATGGTCCCAGATATCCGGTTGTACGCGAAGTCCAGCCACGCAAGCTCCGTCGACAGGTTGGCAACCGACGCCGGCAGCTGGCCGGAGAGATCGTTGTGGAACATGTGGAGCACACGCAGCTTGCTGCAATTCGTCAGGGCGTCCACGAACTGCCACTCGCTAGGTGTGCTGGCTTGCAGCATGTTGAAGCTCAGGCTCAGATAGAGGAGCTCCCTGAGCTCGCCAAGGTCCGCGGGCACCACGCCAACGAGGTTGTTCTCGCCCAAGGCGATGCACTGCATTGTCGACGCGTTCGCCAGGCTCGCTGGGACCCGTCCAACGAGCTCGTTGCCGAACATGCTGAGGAAGTAGAGCTCCGGGAGCAGGTCTCCGATGTCGTGGCGGAGCCTCCCCGATATTGAGTTGTAAGACAGCTCGATCATCCTGATGGAGGTGACGTTGTAGATAGACATCGGGACCTCGCCAATAAGATCGTTCCCGGCCGCCTCTATGTACTGCAGGCTCCTGGACTGGCCTATGTCCTCCGGCAGGCTACCGCGAAGGTTGTTGTACTTGAAGGAGAATCCGATGAGGGCCGTCATGTTGGCGAACAGCGGTGGTATGCTGCCGGTGAGGTTGTTGTTTCCAAGGCTGATCCACTGCAACGAAGGCAGCCCGGCGAGGGAGGTCGGTATGCTCCCCATGAGCTGGTTCTTGGAGAGGTTCAGATTTACCAGAGCGCCGCCGAGACGGCCGAGCCTGGGTGGGATAGGGCCGAAGAGCAGATTGCGAGAGAGATCGAGGTGCGTCAGATTTGTGAGCAGGGCCGCCTCTGCCGGCATGGCCCCAGCGAGCAGGTTGCCCGAGAGGTCCAGCCTGCGGAGGCGCCGCAAACTGCCGACGGACGGAGGTATCTCCCCTGTGAGCCCGTTGTCCGGCAGCTGAAGAGACGAGAGGAAGGTGAGGTTCCAGAGTGCCGGAGGGATAGCGCCGGCAAGACCCAACGACGCGAGCACCAGCGCGGTCGCTCTGCCATTGCCAGCGTGACACGAGACGCCACGCCACCGGCAGAAGGGCAAGGAGTCATTCCAGGAGCTCAGCGGGTCGGCGTGGCCGCCTCCATAGACGGCGTGCTTGAACGCCAGCAGAGCGGCGCGGTCCGTCTCGTTGTTGCCGGCGGCGGCCGAGCAAGCCTCGGCCAGCTGCAGTAGGATGAATAGAGCCAGTACGAGGTGGCACCGCTGGCCTAGGACAAGCTGCATGGCAGACGACTTTTCTCAACTGGAATTTTGAGAGAAAATAGTAGTACTAGATAGAAGGAGGCGCACCAAGTTTGCCACGGAATGTTGCGCAGAGGACTCCTCGAGTGTGTAGACGAAACCAAGGCTGGTGCCGTAGGGGGTGTTGAATTCGTCTCATGCTTCGGTCATCCGATGATGTTGATGGGTTACCCCGTCGGCCGGCGCGCGTGCCCACTTAGGCCTTGATTGGATTGTTGTTTTCCAGCGTTTTACACCTGTATAAAAGATACACACCTTTATCCGGTCGTTTTCTTTCTTCGTTAAAAATTGCATATAGCCGGTGAAATACACTTGTAGAATAAATATATCAATGTCAAATGGGGCGTTAATTTGATGCGTGAGCGGCAATGGATTGACTCCGCCATTGGATACCTAACCACTAAAGTTAGCTTTGATGTTGACTGCCGATCGCCCTCAACGCACCCAGCTGGCCTGTGTTTGGGTTTAGAATCAGAGCGTGATGGAAAGGAAGCTCAGATCTTACCGGGGTCTTCACCAGAACCACATGAAAGCAAACTGTACTCGGCAATTCGTGAGATCAGGACATATAATAAGGTGCACGGCTGCCACGCCACCTTTCTCTTAATTTAACAGAAATTTTAATTGAATCATAGACGTTCATTAATAAACAAAGATATGGCCCTGGAGTTATGAGAAGTTTATTATAAACTTCTGCGAGAAGATTACTAGTTTGTTATCGGGGAGGTTGCGTGTCGGAGACAACTATTGCAGTCAAATCGAGCAGATCTCGGGTAGCGGGTCTGAAAGCACAAGTGCTCCCTAGGTGGTTTTGGTAATTAATGTCAACATATCTCTTGTTGGACTAACATTTTTATCTAGTATGTTTCAGATAAGTTCAACAGTGAAGTGGCATGGACTAGAGGATGTGAAACCTCTTCAAGATGCTAAGGACAAAGGATTGGCTCAAACTCAAAGCTTAAGACTCTACATTTTCCATTTTAGTGATCCAAAATCACATTGAGTCTATAGGAAAAGTCAATACTATCAAGGAGGGATGAAGTGTTGCTTAATGAGGTTATTGCTCAAAATGAGACGTAGCTGCATGACATTCTTTGATCCGTCCATGACGGGAAAAAACCGTGGTAGAAGCGAGGGGGAGGAAAATTTCGAGGAATTCCCGGTTACGGTGGGAGGTCGGGGGCCGAGCGATGCACGTTTCTCTCATACACATAGGCGTGTGTGTGCGAGGCGTTGGCTCTAACTGAACCCGGGCGATTGCACTGCAGGCTATGCATTACTGAACCCGAGCGATCGATCGATGGCTGTTAACTAAACCCGATCGAGCGAATCCTTCGCTACTGCTGCTAACTGAAGCCGATCGATGTTGCCTCTGGATGAACAGTGAGCGTTGCGGGGGGGTGGATGAACAGTTCCCGGTGGGGGTGGATGAATAGGACCCCGTGGTATTGCCTCTGGATGAACATGACCCCAATCGATCGAGCCGGTTGGGGCTGAATGAACAGGACCCCGTGGAGGGCTGGATGAACAGGACTACCCCGTGGAGGGCATGATGAACAGTAGACGGTGTAGGGCAGGATGAACAGTAGCCCGTGGAGGGGTGGTTGAACAGGAGCCCGTGGAGAGGGCTGGTTGAACAGTAGCCGGTGGAGTAGCGCGCGGTGGAGGTTGGATGAACAGGAGCCCGTGGATGAACAGTCGCAGGTGGAAGCTGGAGGAGGTCGATGGTGGATGAACAGTAGCTCGTGGAGGCTGGAGGGGGTCGACGGTGGAGATGAACAGTATCCCGTAGAGTCCCGTTTTGCGGTACGTCACACCCCTCCCGATGAACGGGACCCCCGTTTCGACCGTAGTGCTCCAACACAAGTCCGTTTCGTCCGTTTTGCGGTACGCCACACCCCTCCCGATCAACAGGACCCCCGTTTTGACCGTAGGAGGTCCGTTTTCTCCGTTTTGCGGTACGCCAGACCCCTCCCGATGAACAGGATCCCGTTTTGAACGTGGCCGGTCGAACACAAGGCCGTTTCCTCCGTTCTGCGGTACGCCAGGCCTCGTTTCCATCGCCTGTTCCGTCCAAACCCTCCCGATGAACACGACGCATTCTGTTGCCTCCCCATGAACACGACGCATTTCGTTGCCTCCCCATGAACACGACGGCGACGCCGTTTCTCCGTTCCGACCCAGCCATGTACATGAGCCCTGGCCGTACGTATGCGTGAGTAGGCGTTCGAGACCCCGTCCGTATGTACACATACGTGGCCGTATTTTCTTTCTTGCACCCTGGCCGCTGTACGTACGTGTAAATGCTACGTGCGCGCCTCTACTACGACACGTGCACGCCTCTACTACAACACGTGCGCGCCTTTACATCGACCAGTATGTATGTATACGTTCGCGACCAGAATGACAACGCTACGTACGCTTCGATCAGGTGGGTCCCGACTGTCAGGCACTTCCTTGCCTACGAAGATGTAGCTGGTCGGTCCCAGCAGTTCAGGGGGCGAATCGTTTTTTTGCCCGGACGCACTTCCTTGCGTGTGAAGATGTAGCTGGTGGGTCCTAGTAGTCAGGAGGAAACATTTTTTCGCGAAATACAGTGGCCCGTCCGATGGGTCCCGCTATCAGGTGGAGGAATAATTATTTTGCACGTAATAAGGAGGCACTTCCTTGCTGCGGCCGTGGACCCAGCTGTCAGCCTCTCCACGTATAGTCCATGTTTGATGGAAGCCGTTCCTTGACCATGTTGACCACGCCGCGCCGAGAGCACCAGGGCGGTGGACGACGGCGAGGCCTAGGAAGGGGACGACGCGGAGCCGGGGAAGACGCGACAGTGGATGCCCACGCGTAGAGGAGTACGAGGGTTCACTGGTTTGTTGCGGTGTGAGGCTGCCGGCGCCGCAGAATAACAAGGGGTGTGGGTGAGTAGAGGGATAACCTGGCCAGCGGTTGGAGTAGTAGGGGGCGGTGAGGCCTCCGCCGCATCGCAGCCGACCACGGGAGGCAGGAGCACGAGGCACGACTGGCGCTGGTTTGGGCGGCTGGAGCAAGAAGACCAGAGGTTGAAGAAGCACTACGGCCGTTGGATGGACATCAGACGGTCACTTCAGCTAGAATCGTGCATATTGACTAAGTTGACAAAGCCCTCTGTCCCCGTCAACTTAGTAGGCCCACAAGTCAGCCTCCCACCAAGGTGGGTCCCAGCTAGCAGGGGGTATTCATTTTTTTGAGCATAATAAGGAGGCACTTCCTTGCGTGCGAAGATATAGCTGGTGGGTCCGAGCTGTCAGCGGCGGTAACGTTTCTTTCGCGAAATACAGAGGCCCTTTCGGTGGGTCCCTAATGTCAGGTGGAGGAATCATTATTTTGCGCGTAATAAGGAGGCATTTCCTTGCGTGCGGCCATGGACCTAGCTGTCGGCCTCTCCACGTACAGTCCACTTCAGATGCATGTCGCTCATTGACCATGTTGACCAGGCCGCGCCGAGAGCACCAGGGTGGTGGATGACGGCGAGGCCTAGGAAGGGAACGACACGGAGGCAGGGATGACTCGGCAGTTGTTTCCCACGCGGAGGGTAGTACGACTGTACGAGGGTTTACTGGTTCGTCTGCCATCGCCGGAGAATAACAGCAGGTGTGGGTGAGTAGAGGGATGACTAGGCCAGCGATGAGAGTACGGTGGGGCGGTGAGGCCTGCGCGGCAGCAGAGCCGGCTGCGGGGAGGAGGGAGCAGGCAGTCCCGCCGGCGCCTGTTTGAGCGGCTGGAGCAGGAAGAGCAGAGATTGAAAAGGCACGACCGTCATTGGATGGCCATCCAACAGTCACTGCTTGTGCGTCAACCTTTTTTTTAGGAAAGCCTCAAATCTATGGAAAACATCATACAGCCCATCTGCCATTATTTCTAATAATTTACAGCCCATTTGCTAATTATTAAGGTTTTTTTGGAGCACATATTCTTTTTGTTAGCATTACAGCCCATATTGTGGCCACGGTTAAAAAATTATACGAAATTTTGCATATTTCGGTGCGGTCCAAACTGTTTTTAATCCCGAAATTTCGACTCACATTCAAACTGATTTTAAAAATAAATGTATGTCAATATAAAATCCAACAAATTCTCCACGCATAAAAATTAATGTAATTTCAAATCTCGAAATGAAGAAAAGATATTTGAAACTAATTGTTGGTTTGGTGTGTTTTAAAAATGTACAGCCCATTTCTCATTACTGATGGGCCATTTTCTCGGCCAGCTGAATGAAAGCTCTCCTCGTCTTGAAAGATTTGCAGCCCAACGGGCCTGACAAAGCGACTTATTTGGAAAATCACAAAAAAACTGGGCTGTGGCCGTGGACCCAGCTGTCAGCCTCTCCACATACAGTACTCTTTCGATGGAATGTCGTTGACCACGTTGACCACGCCGCGCCGAGAGCACCAAGGCGGTGGACGACGGCGAGGCCTAGGAAGGGGACGACGCGGAGCCGGGGAAGACGCGGCAGTGGATGCCCATGCGGAGAGTACGAGGGTTCACCGGTTCGGCTGCGGTGTGAGGCTGACATCACCGCAGGGCCTGGCTACCGATGGGAGTAGTAGGGGCGATGAGGCCTCATCGGCAACACAGCCGGCCACTGAAGGTAGGAGCAGGCGGTCTTCCCGGCGCTGGTTTGGGCGGCTGGTGCAAGAAGAGCAGCGATTGAAGAAGCAGCAGGACCGTTCGATTCAAATCCAACGGTTACTGCTGCTAGAATCGTTTGTTGACTAAGTTGACAAGCCTTGCGTACGCGTCAACTTAGTAGGCCCACAGGCCAGCCTCCCAACCGGTGCGCCCCAGATGTCAGTGGGAGGAATCATTTTTTCGTGTAATAAGGAGGCAGTTGATTGCGTGCGGCCAGGCCAGCGAAGGGAGTAGGGTGGGCCGGAGAAGCCTGCGCGGCATCACAGCAGGCCACAAGAGGAGGGAGTAGGCAGTCCCTCCGGCGCTAGTTTAGG